GTGAGACGACGGACACATTGTGAACGTCCTGGAGGCTGCCGGATATTGGTGTAAGAATTTGATATTCAATTTATTTTATGTTTATAATCCGGTGGTTATCTTGGATTATCTTGGTTTAACTCAGTGAGTGATTGATGACCCGCTCAATTGTGATCTAATTTTCAACTATCATTCCACAAAGGGGTGAGAAAGTTAACTTAATAATGCAACTTTGGGTTATGTTATGACCAGCAAGATCTGATCAGCGTCCCACCGCGGGTCACTGATGCCATCGTGGACGCTCGTCTGGGATTCACTAACACATTTTTTTTTTAGTCTTCATCCCGAGGAATGTATTCTGATCTCCGGCTGTTTGAAGGGTTGTGGGATGCTCATATCACTACATCAAGGTGACTGAAGGCTTGACGTCTTGATGCATGACAGAACCAGCGACTTTAATAATGTGAATGAACAATGATTTATTTTGTAGTCCGATGTGTAATGGGATAACTTAATTGCATAATGTCTTTAAGGTAACTCTTAATTACTAAATTCACTTACTGATAATAAGAGTTCATATCATCATACATTGCTTAGTATAGTCTTATTTTGTTAACAAAAGTGTCGTTTATTCAATGTACGCTGCAGGTCCAGGGAGCCAAAGTGCACCTCTTTACCAGAGAGGAACGAACCCTTGAGGGTCTCCTACAGACGTAAGGAGACAGTCCACTGTATCAAGGCCAGCATTTCCAAATCTTATGAAATTTGGGTGGATACTCTCTGACAAAGAGCTCCATTATAGGTGGGACATACCAGCAGGTGCTGCCAAACTGTGCTATAAACTGATCGACTGTAGATGCAAAAAAAGATTTTCATTCAGTTACATTTGTCATAAGGAAACAAACTCTCATATTGCTCACATACGTTCACATATCTGTATATAAAGAACACTTTATAATTCGATATATTTCACAAAAACACACCATGAAAATTTACCTTACGCCAGACAATTTTATTCATGCTCAGAGGTGACCCCGCACACCAGGGGCTTAAGACATGTTCCTCATTGATATACAAATTAATTGATCCTTATAGAATACCGTGTCGTCTGTAGATGAAAAAAAAAACCAGTATGCTGACATTCATGCTTTCTTCTCCAGGGCTCATGTAGAGGTAAGACTGATACACCTCCTCCTCCCCCTCCTCCTCCTCCCCTTCCTGTTTCATAACGTACAGTAGAAGGTTGGACAGATATACAGTGACTTCCTCTTCCTCCACCTCCTCTTCTACCTCCTCTTCCTCTTCCTTAACTTTTTTTCTATCTCCTTCTTATCTTCCTCCTCCTCGTCCTCCACAGTGTACAAGTAGGGGCCATACTGCTACGTTACACTACGTCAGTCTACCCTACAAGTAAGGTCGTCACATTATGTCTGGTAAGAAGCTTTAATTGGGCACGGAAGGTACATCATCCCCGTCCCTACTGCTTACGAGTTCTTCTTGGTGCAACTCTGGTAGTGAGTACAGTGCAATGCACATCCCTTGTAAATATTCTTGCAAGAAATTTAATCTGTAACTCTTATGTCTTGAGACGATTGACATCAAGGGGAGGGTATCTATGAGTGTGGTCCTGTACTATACTTACGTAGGACCTATTCACAGCAGGATACAGACTCAGGACGTGTAGAAAACGTGTGTGTCCTCTTGTCTTACAGTAACGTTGCCTGGATAATGTAAAGTACGTTGTTCGGAAAAAAAATGAAAATAACTTTGGCAAAAGTCAATGCAAGGCGACATAGCACACCACGCGGTGCCAAGTTATGTGTGATATAAATTTAAAGTAAATTACTTTGGGCGTTCTCAAATTTTTGTTTATGGGACAATCACACGCAGCAAAGTGTATCTATCCAGGATATACTGTAGTTAATGCTGGAGGGGCAACAGGCAGAGCTTCTGGTGACACTTACAGACCAACAGGCTTGCAGGTGACACATATAGACTGGCAGGCTGGTAGGTAACACAGACTAACAGCTACAGTATCGGGATAGTGTGGACCATAAGAAGTTGACAGAACCACTGACTAGTTTGTAGGCGATAGTACATGCTGGGTAGGACAGCTGACACACTAAGTGACAGGAATAGAAACTAACACAAGACTTTGACAGGACTGTAATCCAACCAGCAGACTGACACGGAATACAGCAGGACTGACAGGGGGATACAGCAGGACTGACAGGGGGATGCAATTATATACAACAAGACTGGCAGAGGATACAATAAGATACAACAGGAGTGGCAGTCGATACAAAAATATACAACGGGACTGACAGAGGATACAATAAGATACAATAAGACTGATAGTGGATATAACAGGACTGACAGAGGATACAACAGGAACGGACAGTGGATATAACAGGACTGACAGAGGATACAATAGGATTGACAGAGGATACAATAAGATACAACAGGACTGATAGTGGATATAACAGGACTGACAGTGGATACAACAGGACTGACAGTGGATACAACAGGACTGACAGTGAATAGGACTACAGTGGATACAATAAGATACAACAGGACTGACAGGAGATACAGCAGGACTGACAGTGAATACAACGGGACTGACAGTGGATACAATAAGATACAACAGGACTGACAGTGAATACAACGGGACTGACAGTGGATACAATAAGATACAACAGGACTGACAGTGGATACAACGGGACTGACAGTGGATACAACGGGACTGACAGTGGATACAACAGGACTGACAGGAGATACATACAACAGGACTGACAGAAGATACAACAGGCCTGACAGTGGATACAACAGGACTGACAGTGGATACAACAGGACTGACAGGAGATACATACAACAGGACTGACAGAAGATACTACACGCCTGACAGTGGATACAACAGGACTGACACTGGAGACAACAGGACTGACAGCTAGACGGGCCTGTGGGACACTACCAAAAGATGCTAACAGTAAACACTAGTAATTGATATTGACAACTTATACTGACAGCCTGACAGGAACCAGTAATAGGCGACAATGGCAGGCTGTTAAGAAAAACTGGCAGGTGACAAGGGAAAATTTTATGATGGCTGAGCACACTGGTAAGAATGTAGCAGAAATTAACATATCATTTTCAGGCAGATAATATTGTCTAACAAGCTGATTGGGGATAATGACCGACAGGTAGGGAACAATGGTCGACAGGTAGGGAACAATGGTCGACAGGTAGGGAACAATGGTCGACAGGTAGGGAACAATGGTCGACAGGTAGGGAACAATGGTCGACAGGTAGGGAACAATGGTCGACAGGTAGGGAACAATGGTCGACAGGTAGGGAACAATGGTCGACAGGTAGGGAACAATGGTCGACAGGTAGGGAACAATGATCGAGAGGTAGGGAACAATGACAGGCTTGTAACTGACACAAACTAAACTGCAGGTGACACTAGCGTATGACAAGTACTCTGTGAAGGTACTCTGGTAAAGGCTGCAGTAGAAGGCGTACTGGGAGGTTTGCTGGTACAGTAATTGTGAACCATTGTCAGGATAACAAGAGAGCTGGACAGTGAGAGGCTGGTCGGTACACTGGGAGTAACACTACACTCAGTTCCTACCTAAGATATCTTGACTTTCATCTGTGACCTTGACTTTTGTTTAGCTGTTGCTTGAACACACGGAACCATATAACCAAGATCAGCCGAGTTGAAAAAGAAAAAAAACTTCCACCTTCAGTAGAACAGATCAGACACTGGCCAGATATAGGTAACGCAGGATGGTTAAGATGGTAAAGTGATTGACTAATGGCCGACTGGTGGACACTCTTGACAGGGTATAAGGGTAGGTGACTGCAGTGAGATACGTAGGAGGTAGTCACGAGCTATATAATATAACATAAAGTAACAGTAAGGTGAGATGTGTGACTACTGACTAAGGGCATAAAACTATCTAAAGAGCCGTGAAAGGCATGCCTGGTAACCTTCATATAACCCAGCCAGAGACTCAAGTGATGGAGGTGTCTGAGAGATGATTATGGTAAAGGACGGTGACAGCAGACGCCACCACAGCAGAGTGACAGTACTGGTAAGTCAAGTAAAAAAAAATAACAATTAACAGAACAATTAAAACAATAATGACTTAAAAAACTAGATTACTGAATAAAGAACAAGAAAAAACATAAGGAATCACAGCAACAGGATTTACGGTGGCATTACTATAAAAAAAAGAATGTAAGAAAGTGAAGAGAAGGTTCAAGAGACAGATGTACTGACCTAACACCAACAGATACCAACGAGAAGGAAAATAAATAAGGTACAGCAGCCACATAGGAACTACACGGAGATACAACAACAGATAAAGTTGCAGTAATTCAGAAAGCAATACAGGAAGCGAGAAGCAAACAACAACAAAAAAAGTGATGGAGTAAGACAGCCGCGCTAGAAAAAAGGGGGAGATAATGGAGAAGGTTGCATTGAACACAAAAAGAACACCACAAAAAAAAAGGTTACTGAGCGGCACAAAAAATACAGGCACCCGGGGCAGGGGAATATATTAGGGGCTCTTGGTCACGAAGCTGAAACGGTGGCTGATAAGGAAGCACAACACGTTACCTTTCACAGACCGTTGCCAATAACTAAGCAAGCACAACCTCGGGGAGTTATGTTTTTATTCGTGAGTAATTATTTTATTTTGTAATATTTTTTTTTATATTTGTCCCATTTTTGACAGTAGAGGATATGTTCCTCCATTATATATATATATATATATATATATATATATATATATATATATATATATATATATATATATATATATATATATATATATATATATATATATATATATATATATAATTATTTATTTATTTATTTATTTATTTTTATTTTTTATTTATTATTATTTTTTTTTGCAATACTCGTAAAACTCCAAAGGAAATAACAGAAGCCTTCCCTACTACCCTCTACCTCCTATTCTTCCTATTATCAGCCCGTATCCTCCTCAGAGTCCATGTCGCACCCTGCCGGTTCCAGGCCTTCCTGTCGCATCCTGGAGGCGTCGCAGCGGGGGTCCGACAGCGGTCATGTTGCGACTCTGCACGTCCTCCATCACCGCTTATCTCTCCGGCTCCCCCCGCCACGCTCCACCGCTGCTGCCGCTCCTACTCCTGCTTCCCACGCTTTGAGAGCTTCTGCTAACCTGTTTTTCTACTACCACAACATAAACTGCTCGGTCACCATTTCTCCGTCTCAAATCCTCTTTGGTTTTGCTACTAAGATCTACATTGTTATGTTAGTGTCAATGTTATACACATTGTCTTGGCTTCTGGTTCGTTCCTGGCTTCAGCGTGTGACAACTGATTTCGATTTTTACAAAGTAAGATTATATTCCATTCTAGATCATTTATTTTCAGGCATCAGAATTTTATAGATCAGCTGCTTAACTTTCTTTACTTCATTACTGGATCACCACAGACTTAGTTTTAGAGAAGCCTCACCTAGTGACTGTCAACTGTTTGTTTACACTAGATATTTCCACCATCATTATCATCTGAAGTGACTTTCACATCATAAGAATGTGATCTATTCCAACATCCCCTGCTCACATTCCTGCAACATCCCCTGCTCACATTCCTGCAACATCCCCTGCTCACATTTCTGCAACATCCCCCGACCCACATTCTTGCAACATCACCTGCTTACACTCCTGCAACATCACCTGCTTACACTCCTGCAACTTCACCTGTTCACACTCCTGCAACACCACTTGCTTACACTCCTGCAACACCACCTGCTACACTCCTGCAACACCACCTGCTTAGACTCCTGCGACATCATCTGTTCACATTCCTGCAACACCACCTGGTTATATTCATGCAAGAGGACCTGGTCAGTCAACTGCAACATACGGTGACATAATCCTCTTGCAATAGACACCAGTTTATATTTATCTGTTCTTTCTTCTTCCACCCTTTTCTATCGCATTCTTTTTTTTCCATCTTGTTCCTTCATTCTACAGCACACGAGAGGACTGGCTTAGAGATAACTGACAAGTGGCCTCAGCCCTCTGAGATAACCCGTGTGATCACGTAGCGTGCCGTGGCCTACTGGGTTTTGTGAGGGGATAGTTGTTCACCGCGTGACCTTGCGTGACCTTGAAGGCTCTTTCTGTTTATATTTTGCCGAACCTGGGGAGACTTCTCGAGTGTAGGTAAATGTGAGTGTATTGTAATGTACACCCTTGTTAGTTTCTGTGAGTGTATTGTAATGTACACCCTTGTTAGTTTCTGTGAGTGTATTGTAATGTACACCCTTGTTAGTTTCTGTGAGTGTATTGTAATGTACACCCTTGTTAGTTTCTGTGAGTGTATTGTAATGTACACCCTTGTTAGTTTCTGTGAGTGTATTGTAATGTACACCCTTGTTAGTTTCTGTGAGTGTGTTGTAATGTACACCCTTGTTAGTTTCTGTGAGTGTATTGTAATGTACACCCTTGTTAGTTTCAGTGAGTGATAGTAATGTACACAAAGTACACACAACGTACACATAACAAGTATACCTGAGAAAGCATACATATTAAAGTACACTTAAGTAAACGTACAGTACATAAAGGAGGTGTTGGGGAGGGTGTCACATGACCATTATAGTACAACAAGTCGGTCACGTTATTTCCCATCCCCATATACTTATTTCTGATCCTCTGGCCCTGTCAATTATCTCTCCCGTACTCCCTGTTAATTCTCTCTCTCTCTCTCTCCTATCTTACTTATTATTCATCTTCTTTTCTTCCACCTGTTAACTAAACTTCTCCCTCTCCTCTTCCCCCTCGTTCCCTAATCTTCCATGGCAGCACCTTCTTATACTCCCTTCACATCCTCTTCCCCCTTCTTCACTCCTTCCTCCTCCTTCTTCACTCCTTCCTCCCCATATCTATATCTTGCCTATGTCTTCCTCTTCCTTTTAGACACCTCTCTGTATTTTCCTTCACTCATTCCTCCAACCACCCCTCCTCTACCCCATCTAACTCCTCACACACCCTTCCCTCCCACCTCCTTCCTCCCCGTCTAACTCCTCACACACCCTTCCCTCCCACCTCCTTCCTCCCCATCTAACTCTTCACACACCCTTCCCTCCCACCTCCCCAAATACGTTCTCATACTCTTGCCTCCCACCTTCCTCCTCCCCATCTATCTCCTCACACTCTTCCCTCCCCTCCCACCTTCCTCCTCCCCAACTACCTTTACACACCCTCCTCCCTTCATCCCTCTCCCCCACGTGCCTCAAGATACAGCAGGTACCATTAGTTATTTAAGTGATAAACCAATAGGTAATGGAGTACCTCGTCTCTACATGACAATTAACTTAAGAGAAATATCCTGGTGCGAAGCTTGCTAATTAACATTGCAATAATTATAGTCATGCTGAGTTATAATTATCCTAGATGTTTGTAATAAATAATACACACCTGGTCATTACCTGCTGTTCCCCTCGTTATCTCTACCTTATCTCTGTTATCGTTTGATCACCTGGTCCAGTCTTCTTACATATATGTTACTCCTGTTTATCCTTATCTATCTTTGCGTGTGTGTGTGTGTGTGTGTGTGTGTGTGTGTGTGTGTGTGTGTGTGTGTGTGTGTGTGGGCGGAACAATAGCATTATGTTATAATATAACCAATAGTTCTAAGTCATTAAATAAAATCATCAAATAATATAACCAATTCATTTTTATTACAAGACTTAAAGAATCTTCAGTAACCTTAGTGGAAGAAATCAGTTATGGCTCGTGTAAACATTTATGGGTTAAACGATTAATGATAGTCTAGGAAACTGAAATTTATGCATTGAAGTAAGAGTTATTATATCATTATTATTTATATCTATATCAATCCAAAGACCTGGATGTTGTGTCTTTATTTTTAATCGGAATTTAGTTAATGTTTGGATAATGTTGATTTAAAATGCTTCAAGTGAACACAATGCCATAATATTTAGCATTAAAAGTAGATTACAATAGATAATAATAATAATAATATGACATGTACCAGAGTTTATTGATAGTTACTGGTGAGGCTAATGCTTCTGTGGGATATCCGTTGATATTTATGGCACCCTTTTGAGGCTTAGTCGGAAGTGTAGTTAACAGTTTAGGAGTGCGTGGTTTATTTCACAACTTACAGCACCACACTTTACTTCTCTAGTCAAATACTTCCCTTTAGTAGTTTAGTAGTCAAATACTTCCCTTTAGTAGTCAAATACTTCTCTTTAGTAGTCAAATACTTCTCTTTAGTAGTCAAATACTTCGCTTCACTAGTCAAATACTTCTCTTTAGTAGTCAAATACTTCTCTTTAGTAATTTACTAGTCAAATACTTCTCTTTAGTAGTCAAATACTTCCCTTTAGTAGTTTAGTCATCAAATACTTCTCTTTAGTAGTCAAATACTTCTCTTTAGTAGTCAAATACTTCTCTCAAATACTTCTCTTTAGTCAAATACTTCTCTTTAGTAGTCAAATACTTCTCTTTAGTAGTCAAATACTTCGCTTCACTAGTCAAATACTTCTCTTTAGTAATTCATTAGTCAAATACTTCGCTTCACTTGTCAAATACTTCTCTTTAGTAGTCAAATACGTCTCTTTAGTAATTTAGTAGTCAAATACTTCTCTTTAGTAGTCAAATACTTCTCTTTAGTAGTCAAATACTTCTCTTTAGAAGTCAAATACGTCTCTTTAGTGCTCAAATACTTCTCTTTAGTAGTCAAATACTTCCCTTTAGTAGTTTAGTAGTCAAATACTTCTTTTTAGTAGTCAAATACTTCGCTTCACTAGTCAAATACTTCTCTTTAGTAGTCAAATACTTCTCTTTAGTAATTTAGTAGTCAAATACTTCTCTTTAGTAGTCAAATACGTCTCTTTAGTGCTCAAATACTTCTCTTTAGTAGTCAAATACTTCCCTTTAGTAGTTTAGTAGTCAAATACTTCTCTTTAGTAGTCAAATACATCGCTTCACTAGTCAAATACTTCCCTTTAGTAGTCAAATACTTCTCTTTAGTAGTCAAATACTTCGCTTCACTAGTCAAATACTTCCCTTTAGTAGTCAAATACTTCTCTTTAGTAATTTAGTAGTCAAATACTTCTCTTTAGTGCTCAAATACTTCTCTTTAGTAGTCAAATACTTCTCTTTAATGCTCAAACACTTCTCTTTAGTAGTCAAATACTTCTTTTTAGTAGTGAAATACTTCGCTTCACTAGTCAAATACTTCTCTTTAGTAATTAAGTTGTCAACTACTTGTCTTTAGTAGTCAAATACTTCACTTCATTAGTCAAATTCTTCATTTCACTAATCAAAATATTTCACATCACTTACCAAATACTTCGCATCACTTGTCAAATACTTCATTCAGTAATCAAATATTTCGCATCACTAGTCAAATGCTTTGCTTCAATAGTCAAATGTTTCACATCATTAGTGAAATATCTCGTCTCAATAGTCAAATACTTCACTTTAGATTACTTTCTTTGAGTATAAGCTAAGATTTCATTTAATATCCTGATATACTGCACATAAAAGTGTTCTAGAGTTAAATTTTGTGTGCGTGCGTTCGCGCGTGGATAACAACAGCATTAAGTTAAAGAAACAACTGGTATTAAGGAGTTGATATCAGCATGGAAGACACGGGTGAGGCAATTTTAGGACTGTCGTGACAACTTTGAATCCCGAAATAGAGACTGGGCTGTGACGAGATATGTCGAGAATTGGAAAAGTTGTGTTGAGTCTAAGCACGCAATGACTCAAGAGTCCAGTGGCCGTGGAAACGTTAGGAGCAAGAGGCCCTGGGATATATGTTAGCAGTAGATTTGACGGTATAAAAGAAAACCACCTGATATTATGATGCTCTAGGATTGCTGAAGTAATCCCTTGTAATGTTCCAGCTATTTCTATTCAAAACCAGCAGACTACCACAAACACAACGATGTTGGTGGATCACTAATGTTTGGCAAGATTAGGGAGACTGAAAAATTATCAGCAGTTCATGGGAGAAATATTATTTAATGTAACTTTATGTGATATGCTTGGCACTTGGTGTATTAAAGGGAAAAAATAGTTTTGTCCTTTAAGTATTTCTAGTGTGGTACAGTAACACCTCACATGCCTCCCCAGCAGGATATTCACCACTCCTACTGTTATTTGGCCACAATGCTTCAAGGTAATGTGTTAGGTGCTACTGGTGAAGAAGACACAGATGAATGAGCTAGTGTACAGACTTAGATACAAGGGAGTTGGCTAGAAAGTATATACAATTAATCCGGGAAATATTTTACACGAAAAAAACAGTACGGTAAAGTCACGAGCAAACTATGGAAGTGACACAGAAGATTTTGTTGAAGACTAAAGTGAAATTTCATCGGTGAAAATTGCAGAATCATTGTCCTCCAAAACATTGGTGAACTCAAAGGATTCTAAATGTGCGTGCAGTACTTTCTGGCATAACCAGGGTGGGCGACAATATCCATCTTCAGGTTGAAAGCTGTGTAAATTTGAAATCAGTTCCTCAGGACAATCAGTACATCGATAGAGTGGAGAGTGAAGATGAGGGAATTTGTTTATCAGTGAGACATCTAAGGAGAGGAGTCATAAGAAATACGGAAATGTGAGACTTAGACCGACTGGCATTATTCTGTTGCAAGCGATAGGGTGAAATGGTCAGCATTCTTGCCTCGCAAGCAAGCGGACCCGTGTTCGATCCCCGGGCAGGGTGAAACTATGGGCAAGTTTCTATACGCCATTTGCTTCTGTCTACCCAGCAGTAATTGGGAACCTGGATGTAAATCGATTTGCGAAGTATTCCGGGGTACTGGTTAGCCAATACAGTTGGCGAGTTGTCCGGTCTTCTCGGACTATTCCTTGACACTGGGTCATGCAACTTGTTAACTTAGGGTGTGGGTGTGGTGTTGGCGACAGCTTCTACACCTTAAAGTTAACAAATTCACGCCTAGGTGGCCCTTGGGCCAGCCATCCTCGTTACACGAGGGACAACCATTATTATGTAATCAGAGGGAGAATTGTCACCGTGCTGTCCATCCTGTTTGTGATTGTTAGTGATCTCTTCTGTCCCTTGTTAGGCAGGAATAGTAATCTAGTTCTTCAGTTTCAAGTCTGTATTTCAACATACTGTAAATAGCTAAGGTATTTCAATTTTTTGTTCTTTGGTGTGATCGATGACACTTGTGGAAATTTCTTCGTCATTTGTTTTACCTATCGTGTTGTCCTCGTGTATGGGAGGAAAGGCAGATAACCTCTATGTTTATTAACGGGGAAATTAGGGGTAAAAAATATATGATTGATAAATATGATAATTGTGGTGGATAACTGTTCCCAAGATGCCTACATGGTGCAAATATTTAGTAACAAGACATGAATAATGCAGGGGTCACAAGAAACTAATACACAGGCGTCCATAGGCAGAATAGTACTGGAGTATAATTTGTGTGTTCGTGAGAGTTAATGGGTAAACAAAAGAATATATTTGTGTGAGAAAGTGTGTAGAGTGCTTAAGCTTAAGAGTGAGATTGTATTGTGTAAGGAAGGATTATGACTGATGTTCTGAGTTACATAAGATATTAGCAGCATAAATAGGTGTAGGTAGCATTTTTGTTCTATCTTCCCTGTTAAATTTTGATAATATTAAATCTAATTATCGTGTTGATGTGAAAAAGGGACAAGAGATAGTTTTCTAAGGAGAGGTCAACCAGGGTAGTAGCGTTCAACTGCATAAAAGACTATTAATCTATATGTAAATTATTTGACTTCATTAGTCTTGGTATTATATCATTAATTTTTGACGTCTGTCCCTTAAAACGCAATTGAACATGTACAGTACATATCGCCATCATCATTACTATTACCATTACCTAGTTACTCATCATCACCAAATCCATCATCACCACATACATCACTATCACCAACACCACTCATCACTGTCACCATCACTACCCTAACCGCCATTACCACTACTACCATCACTACTTCAACCACCATTACCACTACTACCACCACTACTTCCACCACCACCGTCACCATCACCAACGTCATCATTGCCACTACCACCATGTACTGGAGAGGCACTAGAGGTTGTGGTTGACGTACAGTACACTTACACACCTTGTTGCCGCCTCACTAGGGGCCCGACAAGCCTTATCTCGCAGGTTGTAACAATGCACAACACCACCAAAGTACCACTACAACAACCCTCAACAACCCCTCTTCACCCTGGCCTCTCCCACCACCCAACATATATTTAAACAGGCATCCATTATCGTCCTCACAGCAACAATAGAGGAGCAGCATAATTTCGAATCTGCTCGAACGGGCCGCGACCGTCGACTCGACATTAACAAAAGAATTGAATAAGCAAACTTACTATTTAATTATAATAAAGGCGAAAGGCACAATGCCGGGCCCAAACCTGTGAGTAAAGTCGCCTTATAATTAGCAGTCTACGGCGTGGCTTTATGGCGGGGGTGGGGGAGGGGGGGTGGCTGTGTCTGAAGCCTGCCACAACGGGGGCTATAACAGATGCCTAGGCAGGTTACACTGTCTCATATCCTATGTCCGAACCCTACCATACTGGGCTATATCTCACATGTTATTAGTTTCACCGTGCCTATAACTTAATATAATCCATAACACATTGTGTTTAAAGCCTGCCATAGTGTATTAATGAATATCTTGTGACTGAAGCTTGTCATTGGGGATATAGTTAGTATCCGTAGATTATACTGTGGGAGAACTATACCATGCTGGGCATCAGCCTGACCCCGTGCCCTCTAAGGCTGGCAGTAAGCTTTGTCTTACCTCACTGTACTCTGTCTCGTGTCTCAACTCTTTCTCACCAAGTTTCAGCTACTGCCACACTGTTTTATCTACTGCCACACGGTTTCATCTACTGCCACACTGTTTCATCTACTGCCACACTGTTTTATCTACTACCACACTGTTTCATCTACTGCCACACTGTTGTATGTACTGCCACACTGTTTCATCTACTGTCACACTGTTTCACCTACTGTCACACTGTTTCACCTACTGCCACACTGTTTCATCTACTGCCACACTGTTTCACCTACTGTCACACTGTTTCATCTACTGCCACACTGTTTCATCTACTGCCACACTGTTTCATCTACTGTCACACTGTTTCTCCACTGTCACACTGTTTCATCTACTGCCACACTGTTTCCATCTACTGCCACACTGTTTCATCTACTGCCACACTGTTTCATCTACTGTCACACTGTTTCATCTACTGCCACACTGTTCATCTACTGCCACACTGTTTCATCTACTGCCACACTGTTTCATCTACTGCCACACTGTTTCATCCACTGCCACACCGTTTCATCTATCACACTGTTTCATCTACTGCCACACTGTTTCCTCCATCTGTCACACTGTTTCATCTACTGTCACACTGTTTCATCTTACCACACACTTGTTTCATCTACTGCCACACTGTTTCATCTACTGCCACACTGTTTCATCTACTGCCACACTGTTTCATCTACTGTCACACTGTTTCTTACTCACGCCACACTGTTTCATCTACTGCCACACTGTTTCATCTACTGTCACACTGTTTCATCTACTGCCACACTGTTTCATCTACTGTCACACTGTTTCATCTACTGCCACACTGTTTCATCTACTGTCACACTGTTTCATCTACTGCCACACTGTTTCATCTACTGCCACACTGTTTCATCTACTGTCACACTGTTTCATCTACTGCCACACTGTTTTATCTACTATCACACTGTTTCATCTACTGCCACACTGTTTCATCTACTGTCACACTGTTTCATCTACTGCCACACTGTTTCATCTATTGCCACACTGTTTCATCTACTGTCACACTGTTTCATCTACTGCCACACTGTTTCATCTACTGTCACACTGTTTCATCTACTGCCACACTGTTTCATCTACTGTCACACTGTTTCATCTACTGTCACACTGTTTCATCTACTGCCACACTGTTTCACTCCACTGTCACACTGTTTCATCTACTGCCACACTGTTTTATCTACCATCACACTGTTTCATCTACTGCCACACTGTTTCATCTACACCCACACTGTTTCATCTACTGTCCTGTTTCATCTCTGCCACACTGTTTTATCTACTATCACACTGTTTCATCTACACCACACTGTTTCATCTGCCACACTGTTTCATCTACTGTCACCTGTTTCATCTACTGCCACACTGTTTTATCTACTATCACTGTTTCATCTACTGTCCCACTGTTTCATCTACTGCCACACTGTTTCATCTACTGTCACACTGTTTCATCTCTGCCACTGTTTCATCTACCTGCACTGTTTCATCTACTGTCACACTGTTTCATCTGCCACACTGTTTATCTACTATCACACTGTTTCTTCTGTCTTTTCTTCCTCCTGTCACACTGTTTCATCTACTGCCACCGTTTCATCCTGTTGTATCTACTGCCACACTGTTTCATCTCTGTTTTATCTACTGTCACAGTTTCATCTACTGCCACATTGTTTCATCTACTGTTACACTGTTTCATCTACTGCCACTGTTGTATCTACTGCCCTGTTGTATCTACTGCCACACTGTTTCATCTCTGCCACACTGTTTCATCTATTGCCACCTGTTTCCTCTACTGTCACACTGTTTCATCTACTGTCACACTGTTTCATCTCTGCCACTGTTGTATCTACTGCACACTGTTTCCTCTACTGTCACACTGTTTCCTCTCTGTCACACTCTTTCCTCTCTGTCTCACTGTTTATCTACTTCCCACTGTTTCATCTATGCACTGTTTCTCTACTTCACACTGTTTCATCTACTGCCCTGTTTCTCCTCAACTTTCATCTACTGCCACACTGTTTTATCTACTGCCACATGTTTCATCTACTGTCACTGTTTCATCTACTGCCCACTCTTGTTTCATCTACTGCCACACTGTTTCATCTACTGCCACACTGTTTCATCTACTGTCACACTGTTTCATCTACTGTCACACTGTTTCATCTACTGCCCACACTGTTTATCTACTGCCACTGTTTCATCTACTGTCACACTGTTTCTATCTACTGTCACACTGTTTCATCTACTGCCACAATGTTTCATCTACTGTCATACTTTTTCCTCCTGCCACACTGTTTCATCTCTGTTTATCACTGCCACCTGTTTCCTCCACTGTCACACTGTTTCATCTACTTCTTATCACACTGTTTCATCTACTGCCACACTGTTTTATCTACTGCCACACTGTTTCATCTACTGCCACACTGTTTCATTTACTGTCACACTGTTTCATCTACTGCCTGTTTCATCACCCCTGTTTACTGCTCCACCTTTCATCCACTAGCACACCGTTTCATCTACTGCCACACCGTTTCATCCACTGCTACATTTCTCTACTGCCACACCGTTTCATCTACTGCCTTTTCATCTCACACTGTTTCATCTACTATACACACTGTTTCATCTACTATCCTGTTTCTCTACTGCCACTGTTTATCTACTACCACACTGTTTCATCTACTGTCCTGTTTCATCTTCTGTCACTGTTTCCTACACTGTCCTGTTTCATCTACTGCCACTGTTTCATCTACTGTCACACTGTTTCATCTGCCTGTTTCATCTACTGTTTCATCTACTGTCACACACTATTTCATCTACTGCCACACTGTTGTATCTACTGCCACATTGTTTCATCTACTGTCACACTGTTTCATCTACTGCCACACTGTTGTATCTACTGCCACACTGTTTCATCTACTGTCGTACTGTTTTATCTACTGTCACACTGTTTCTCTACTGTCACACTGTTTCATCTACTGCCACACTGTTTCATCTACTGTCACACTGTTTCTCCACTGCCACACTGTTTCATCTACTGCCACATTTCCTTACTGTCACATTGCTCTACTGTCACACTGTTTCATCTTCTGCCACACTGTTTCATCTACTGTCACACTGTTTCTCCACTGTCGCACTGTTTTATCTACTGTCACACTGTTTCTACTGTCACACTGTTTCATCTACTGTCACACTGTTTCATCTACTGCCACACTGTTTTATCTACTGTCACACTGTTTCCTCTACTGTCACACTGTTTCTCCACTGTCACACTGTTTCCTCCACTGTCACACTGTTTACCCACGCCACTGTTTCATCTACTGCCACACTGTTTCATCTACTGTCACACTGTTTCCTCCACTGTCACACTGTTTCATCTACTGCCACACTGTTTCATCTACTGTCACACTGTTTCATTTACTGCCACACTGTTTCATCTACTGCCACACTGTTTCATCTTCTGCCACACTGTTTCATCTACTGCCACACTGTTTCATCTACTGCCACACTGTTTCATCTACTGCCACACTGTTTCATCTACTAACCAACTAAGCATTATCTAGATCTTGGTAATTTCCTTGTGTGAACGCTTATGCTTTGAACCACCAACAGCAAGGCCAGGATATAAAATTAGCTTCCGTGTTGTAATGAAAAACAAAACAAAAACATTCCACACCTTTGACAACACGACCAAAGAAAACCTTCATATCAGGAACACAAGTGATGGTGATGTAAGGAAATGTTTTGTTTCTGTACTGCCTTAGTTTTATTTTTATCCAATTTTGTATCGTCACATACAGCTTGGTTCTCATACAATAGCCACAGTCTTCAGAGATTTATCACATCCTCTGTTGATAGTTTTGTGAATTAACACTGATGGATATATTACTACGGTGACCACACAACATCACCTGAGTTAGTATTTATTATTTCGAAGTCCATAATTTGCTTCTCCTCGGGTCATATAAATTGTTGGCTAGACTGTCCGTCCATCATTCCGACCTTCCTGAGATCCGCAACAAATGGTTTTCGGTAATTATTCCAAGATTTTCTCCATGTTTTTCTCTCCAATGCAGTGTATTGTACCTATACAGCTGACTTAGGTGGCTCAAGAGTTATGCTTCTTGAAAATCTCAAGAGTTGTTGTTTTTGTGAAATAATTAAAGGTAATGGAAGTTGTGTATCGGGTAATGTACAGTTGGCTCCACCCCAGCTTTGCCAATCCTCTCCCTCCCTGAGGTGTGAACCCCGAACTCTGAAGTGTAATGTAAGCGTTCACTATTGAGCGGGATGGGTGTATCAGGGTAGGTATATTCTCTGTGAGTTGGAGGCAGGGTACTGGGTCCTGGGGGTGAGGTCGGAGGTGTATATCAGTAGAAAGAGATTACAATGCCGAAGAACACTGCCAATAATTGAGAGGGTTTCCTCAGCTGCTTAGGTGTAATACTGACTGTCGGTGGTGGAGGAGGTGGTATTGGAGAGATAAGTTCGAAAGGGTGGAATAGGTTACATTCTCGTCCGAGAGTATTCTGAAAATGGCTAAGAATTTACTCTTTGTGTCTGTCTTGGAACTTGGTGACCTGAGTGGAAATTTATTATTGTGTATTAAAATGAGTTCTTTATGCTGTTAATGACTATACTGTATGATGAGGGACAAAATTTAAACCGTTTCGATGTCAATTGCTGAAAAGACGGTGCAGGAAAGGGTGTTGCTTTATGTTGAAATATGAGACGGACTTCAGCAAAGACTATTACTTGTTAAACCAAATATCCACCATGATAAGTCACAGGCGTTGTGTAGCTAACATCTAGTGGTAGCTGCTCCTGTAACACGATAGTCAACTCGCTCCCACAGAGCCTATCAGAAAACATGATTTTATACAAAGAAAATATGATTTATGTAGTAAAATTGGTCATAAAGACTGAGTAAAAAACACAATAAAACCACAAATCGTTTTATCTGCAAAGTTTAGTAGCTAATAAAAACAACGCCTTGGGGATCCTCTTTGGATTAAGGGCATAATAAAACGGTTTTCTTTGCGAGTTTCATACAAAATTTACTACAGCGTAAGTGTCGGGCTGCAGGGAGTCACTAGAACATTTAACCCAGATATCACTCACATTATATCAATTTCTTACTTAACAAAATAATCCCTCATCAACAGTGCTCGCTACCTACTGTAGCTCTCATTACACGATCAAATATTCTTCAGACCGCTATAAAACTGCAGGATGTATAATGTACGCCATGTAGTATCCATTATTCACCGACTGATGTATTTTTAACGAAGACTTGCATATGTCAGAAGATAAAACAACTAGTAATTACGGTATATGTGCATATCATCATCAGACTCTATCAACTTTCCCATAAGCTTCCCCAAGTTTCCGACCCGACATATATAGAATAAAGAAGCCTGACATCAGTACTATGCACTTTGCTCATCATCTCTCTGGGACTTTTGCCTGTGAGGGAGCCTTTGTCCTGAGCTAGCACAGTACACAACTGTCTACCACAATGTTTACAAGATTAATAGAGATAAATATTTCTCCTCAAAGCTCATCATGAAGCAAATGAGTTTCTGAAAAAAAAATTAAGAAACCAGAGCTCGTGTACAGCAGAGTACAAAAGAACTTGAACGCCACATTATTTATTATTTTGTCTTTATCTCAAACTTGTGGTTCCATTTGCTTATTAGTCATTATTCACCTGCTGCTGCCGCTAGGCCACCATTGTTAACCCTTTAACTACAGGGACGTTGCGTTTAACACCAGACGATCTTTTTCAGCTCAGAGGGCACAACGCACACATGGGGATAGTAGCCTATGTCCACAAACAACTTCTGTGATCCAGGAAAGTGACGTTTTTGACTCACATAGGATATAACTGTCTTCAGGTTCTTGAGGATCGGGTAACTTCGGTGATTTCACAGTTTATTTTGTTCTCTTGATTTAGAATCAACGTTTTGTACCCAAGTTTCATCCTAAATTACAATAAGATATTTTAAAATTTACTCAGAAGATGACGAAAAGTTTGCACTCTAGTCTTTTTTAGTCACGACAAAATATGAGCCGTTTGCTACAGCATTAATTCCCACAGTATAACTGACTCAGTCCTCAAGGTGGTAGTAATAGAGAGTCTATAACAAATTATCTAACCTTTACCTTTTTCTATATCTCTATCCAAGGCCAAAAAAAACTGTATTTATTTATTATCTAGATTCTGTTAAGATTTCCAGTGGGTTTTTTGTTTTCAAGGTCCCTGTGGTCTTGTTCTTTAAAGACCCCAGTGTTCTTTTTTTCCAGAGGACCTCCCATTACATTCTTCTCCTTTCAACTTTTCACTCTTAAACGATGTGCCCACAGTCTCACACCTTCCTCCTCATACTAATTACTTGTATACTCTCTCGCTATTATCAACTTCCTTTACTGCCTTCACCTCTTTATCCCCTATCTTACTTTCTCTTCCTTTACTCTCCATAGCCACCTTTTTCTTTCATTACCATCAACTTCATCCACCGCTTTATATATCTAATGTAATGTCTCACCCTCCACCTCCACCATTATCCTCCCCTTCCCTCCCCACCCCCCCACTCACAACAATTAGTATGCCGTTATGACGCTAAAACAATTATTACTGAGAGGATAATGGGTGCCAGGTAGCATTTTTTTCAACTCATTGCGCACTGTGGTTGTCACTCGTTTGTTTGACCACAGGTGGCTCAATTATCCCGGACAAGACATGCGTTCACCTCCAATAACAAACATTTGAGAAGCTTAATGACGCACACCAGTCAGTGTTGTGTGGAGGTTGGTCGTGGAGGTACAGTAGAACACCGACGGGAAGAAGTGTAAAAAAAACAAAAACATATACTGTGTGTGTGTGTGTATATATATATATATATATATATATATATATATATATATATATATATATATATATATATATATATATATATATATATATATTCGCCATAGTTATGTTACAACAACAGAAGACGGGCGAATATTAAGACTGGTGTAGTTTCCATTGCTATGTTTTCACCAGGCGCTCTTGTATTACTGACTATTTTTTGTGATACAGTGGAGGAGTAACAGTGTAGTGCCAGGGTGAAGGGCCAGGAGTTAGAGAAGGTTGTTCGACGGTAATATGCTGGGACTGTGCCAAATGCTGGTGCAGTGAATCATGTTTGGCCAGTGCTAGTGAAGAGTTTCGTGCAATTTCAGTGAATCGTTTTCGGACAGGGTTAGTGCAGTGATTCATGTTAAGAGAGTTTCTCATGTTTCTTCACTCTTCATGTTAGCACAGTGGTTCCCGTTACTCAAGTTACTTCAGTGACTCATGTTTATACAGCAATTCTTAATAAGCCTCAGATTAATTCATGAAAGAGGAATCATACACTGCATAATTTCTTAATATAATAAAATTAGGGAACGCATTTACAAAGACAAGTAAATATTAACCTAAGCCTACCTCAGCCTTACCATACACCTAAACATTACAAAAGTATACAACACTTATCTACATATACATATATCCTGAGTCTAGACCAACAGTACCAGACTTGGACCACACCCTCTCATCAGCCAGGCTCATCTGACTCTCTGCACTCACCCGCTGAGCTTGTGGACCCGTGACCCACACAGTGCTGATACTTTGTCGCCAATTATCATAGTATTTTAAATAACTAATACAACATTAGGCTGATCTATTTAATATATACATACCATATTAAATAACAATTGCATAAAGGTACAATGTAATATAAAATATAATCCTACCGACTGAACAAGCAGAGTAATTACCTCTGAACAGGTAAGGTAATTACCTCTAATTCCAATATATATAACAGGCATCCAATTCATCATCCACCTCTCTCCAAGGCCAGTCTACATATACGTCATTCCCTACCATCCCTCCCTTACTTTATGTAAATTTCTTTTGTCAAAACTCCTTCTCTTTCACCTTCCTGGTGATGATGATAACGAAGTAAAGTGGCAAATGACTTTGCCATGATAGAAAGGAGAAGAAAAGAATAGGAACGGGAAGTAAAGTAGTCGGGAGTAATAGCAGGTGAGCTACCCACCTAGTTGAGCCTAATTGCTCACTTCTCTCCAGTATCAGTCTTCCTTCTTTTATCATTCCATCAACTTAAAACTTATAACTCTTTCGATAGAGTCACCTACCCGCCTCTTATCACACATCAAAGCATTATCTTTTATTTCATATTCAACGTTCACTAAGCAATAATTAGTCAAATAAAAGACACTGTGTCATTGATGTTACCCTTCAGAGAGGCACACTGCCATAAGTCCCTCCTACAGCTCATCACAAAGTTTAAGAAATAAGTAAAGACAATAGCGACACATCGACGCATAACACATGAAAATAGTGACGCATAAAACATGACAATAGCGACACATACTATTAGAGTGAGTGGTATTATCACGGCAACTTGTGCAATTATAGTGAATCACAAGTGAATGTGGGCCGCCCGTGCCCGGTGAAACTTTTAGCTCGTGCTTGGGTAGCGAACAACGAATAAGGGCAA